ATAGATAGATAGATAGATAGATAGATAGATAGATAGATAGATAGATACATAGATACATAGATAGATAAATATATTGCAATGAAAGCAGCGTTAATGACTCTTTTCTAGGGGTGGGATTCTACAGGTTCGTACCTATTTGCTAGAACCGATTGTTAACATTCTAAGCAGTTCAGAGAACTGGTTGTTAGAAGAAATTACTGGCCTTATCCTATAAGGAAGGCAGGAAGGAAACATTCTGGTTTACAGAAACCGCCTCTCTATTAACTCTTATTACATTCTTGGCAGGGCTAGACTTCCTGTCTCAGGAACATCTCTGGAGTTTTTTTCCTCCTTTGCTGGTACTTTGCTTATGTGGAGTGACCATTCAAAGTTAAAATGGCACTGAAAAAAGTGACATGATCGTTTTTCACACTTACAACTCTTGCAGCAACCCCACAGTCATGAGAGGCCAGGCGAGGAGATGTGTGCCTCGATGTGAGTGATGTTGAGTTGGCCACATCCAGCCAGCCACATGACCACCAAGCCATGCCCACCAACTAAGCCACGCCACAAAACCAGTTGTTAAAAAGTTTGAATCCAATCTCTGCTTTTTTCCCCACAGCTAAGTCAGACTTCTAATAAACGTTGGTTTGAACATTGGCATAATAAATGCTTGAACACTGGCATAAGAAGCAACTTGACCATGTATTTCAATTTGTGGCCCTTCCCAATTCTAACAATGTAACATATTTGGGCAGAGGGGATTAGAAATGTGTACACTTAAGTGCGGGGATGAAAGTTGAAGGTCTCTTAGAAGCAGACTTAACTCATTTTGCTCTCCCCTAACCTATCTGCATACCCTCTCCAAAATAACCTGAATTTTGATAGCACATATTAGAGTTAATTTAAAAAGGGGAATGGGAATGGTTTTCTCAAAAAGGCATCCCTCATCATTCAGTCAGAGGAGAAAGAAGTCGTATTCTTATGTTCTCTGACTTGACTTTAAAAGCAACAAAGGGATATATAGTAAATAAATAAAATAGTGCCTTTATCACATTATGGCTGGGGAGTTGCACAGCCTTGATTTATTCCATATCTTATTCTTGAATGGCAACTGGGGATTATACTGGCTGTGAATGGCGTAGATATAGTACATCTAAGAAAGCTGATACAGAAGCAAGTTTGATTGCAATCTACAGTTGCTAAGAGATAATGAAATCACTTTGCAGTAATTCTGTACTAGGAGACTGATCGTGGTGTACAATATTTTAAGCTACAGATAAATAAATGTATTGCTTGAATTGAAATGGAAAACTCTGCAAATATATATTGTAGGTAGAAATTGGCAAAAATGTTAAAGCCTATGTCCGAGTGCTGGATGCTTCGAAGAAATACTTTCATAGTAAAAACTTCAAATTCATGGACTTAACACTAAAAGCAGCATCTCAGATTATTTCCTTAAAGTAAGTGCTACGTTCATTTGTTATACTCTGTTTTAAGTACTGTAGAAATACAACAGTGGATATTTATGACTGTCACAACATTCCATGATCACGTGATCATCATTTCAGTGCTTCATAGCTGGCTTCTGACAAGCTGACCTGATAGAGAAGCTGGCAGGAAAAACACAAGTCACAGTCAATGTCTTGCTTAAGAATCACACAGTAATTTGCTTAACCATAAAAGAAATGAGGTCATATATCTCAATAACAGAGTTGCCAGTCTAAATTGTGGTTATTAAGCAAGGGCTACCTATATATTTTTGTTATCTTCTCCCATGTCTTACATTGTTTAATACAGCTTATCACATAGTCTTGTTGATATTTCTCACTATGTTATCAGCTCAGAATTGCAAATGGACATGACTGAAAATTCTGCATTGAATTAAATTGAGGCAATTGCTCTTTAGTGCTTCTAAAGGCACGTTCAGATGTGTACTAATTCATACATTTTATTATTGCAGAGCCCTTGATGAAACTTCTGATGAATACACAGCTGTTTTTCTTGTGCAAGGCATGGCCATAGGTCAAACTAGTGTTACAGGAGTTGTCACGGACAGATACGGTGAAAAGATCTATTCAGTTCCACAGCAGATTGAGGTAAATATATTCACTGTTAGCTATTAATGCTTTTAGGGTGACTTTTTATAATGATGCTTCTCAGCCAGAAAAGCTCATCGCTCAAAATGAGTTTAAAATCTGAAAGGAAAATTATTTTAATGGACAAATATCAGTATCATTAGGCAGAAATATGGATGAGGTAATGCTATGCACTTAGCCTGATAAGTCAGGAAAGATGTTACTAATGATTACTAATGTTAGTAAGTATCAGAGCCTGGATGATTCTTTTGCTTTCTTTGCACTTATCCAAACAAAGGAGGGCCTGGGACTAAATGTTAGGCAGTGATGAGGGTGGAGAGAACAAGCAGAAAGTAGAGGGAAAATGCAATTGAATTAATAGTTCAGAAAGAAGGTGAGGATTAGATAATCAGATAAATGCCATGAAAATGCTCAAGCTCCAAAGCTGTTGCAGTAGAATAAGGGTAATTGCTAGATAATAAAATAACTTTAAAATGAAAGAAAAGTTGACAACAAGAAGTGGCATTGGCAAAACATGGCCACAATCAAGGGGGAAACAACACTAAAGTGCTTTTTAAAGTAGGAAAATGTAAGAGAAAAATAATGACAAGACAAAAGAGGGGAATGACAAACTGCTTTAAGTGCAGAAGTTTAAAAAGACAAAATAAAGGCACTATAAAAAGAAAAATCAAAAAGAAACACATAGAGCAAGAAGGTACATCGAAATGAAAATTCTTATATTGTCCCAAATTGTTGAATTTTAACTTTGTAAATAAACATTAATTCTTGTCCTACTTCTAGGTATTTCCTCCTTTTAAATTGATACCAAAAAAGGTCACCTTACTCATAGGCGCAGTGATTCAAGTAAGTTGTTTTTTAATTATTATGCTGAATTAATTATTTCCTAAAAGGAACATTAGTGTATGCATGAATAAAAAGTAATCTTAACCTTATTCCTCGATGTGTGGTCTTCCCAATCTGAAGCAACTTTACCCAATTTAGTAATTTCCAAATGCTTGGCTACTGTAGGTTCCAGAATTCTTAAACTGAATATTCAGTAGAGAGCAATTTCTTGACACAATGACTAGAAGGCAATGTTAGAACTAAAAAGAATTATCATCACTTCCAGATTTATCTTCAGAGTCCACACACATCAAACTTAAAATACTGTTGTAAACATTTTCAATACGTTCCAACAACTATTCAATAACTATAGGTAGTCCTCGCTTATCTACCACTAGTTCAGCAACTGTTGGAAGTTAGGATAGCACTGGAAAGGAACACTTTTGACCAGTCCTCAAAATTGTGGCTGTCAGAGTATCCCTGTGGTCACATGATCATTATTCAGCTGCTTGACTGTCAGCGCGCATATACAATGGCTGCAGCATCCCGCAATCATGTGATTGTCAGAACCAGTTTCTGACAAGAAAAGTCAGCGGGGAAGCCAGCAGGAAGTCATAAGTCACACGTGAAATCACACTAATGACTTCAGGTGACTCACAGAAATAAAATTTGGCACAATCACATGGCACTTCACTTTACCACCTCA